TATTAATAATTTCCAATATAATTTTCCTAAACCCTTTCATATTTTCGAAAAAAACGAATATACTCGACATTCAACTCGCATCCATCAAATCTTAACAGCAACCATGTCGATCAAGAAGGATTTTTTTTATAACTCGAGACCAACCATACAAACGTATATTGCCTTCTAGTAATTTTATTATCGTTCCTATAATACATTCAAGTAAAATATATAACTTATATATATATATATATACATATATATACAAATTTTAAACGTGAATAATGTATATGCTGCAATCCTATATAATCTGAAATTTATTGATTTAGTTTGACATATAAATATCGTTATATCTTATAAAAGTAGAAAATATGGCGCCGAAGAAATAAAATTGAAATTCTTCCTCCTCTAGTCGCTTGTGCAGATCTATTACCATATCAAATACATAGAAAATCCATCAAAATCACAGAGAATGAAAATGGGATGTGTCTTCTACTCTCTTTTGGAAACTTCTTCGTATTTATCATTTGTCTTTCTCTTTCAACCTTACTGACGGACGATATGTCCCTAAAACACCAGATTTAAGTTCTATTCTAGACTTGACGGAATGTTTGATAAATACACTGTTATTTTGGAATGATTCCTCTTCTTTTTATATATATATATATATATATATTTTTCCTCTACTTTGAAACAAGGTTAGCTGATCCTGCTTGATTTTTGCTGAGTTGTTCAATTTTTACAAATGCTTAGTGTTCCCACACAGATGTATAAGATTTTATTTTATTTTTATTGGAAAAGATTTACTACCTTAAACTGTATAATTGCAATAAAAATTATAAGAAACTTAATTAAGTTTCTTTAAAATCTTGATTTCATGAAGATTTTCCTCTTTTTATTTTTTCCAAAATGTCGTGTAATTTGTTTAACTTCGTAAAGTTTTTATATTGTAAAAATTGTAAATGCAAATTGAATAACAAATTTATATATATATAAATTTTAAAGAGTGTAAAAAAATTAATTTAATTTACATCAAAACATATATTTTTCAAAGTTTTTTTTTTGTTTTTAAACTTAAAAGAATTTTTCTAGTTTTAAACTCTACATTAAATTGTATTATACTCATTTAAAATAATTTACAATTATTTATTTACTTCAATTTCACTTAATTATAATTAAAATAAAATAATCCTTTTCAAATCTATTTCTATAAATAGAATTTACTGCTGAAATTGATCAATAATGAGACAAAGAGAAATTGTTTCAGTTTCAATAATAAGTAAAAATTCATCAATATCTCCTTTTATTTTTTAATATAAAACTTAATTAAAGATAAAAATTACATTTCAAGAAGCGTAATTGAGTTTTTATAAAAACGCAGTTAAGTTTCGTCATACAAATAAAAAATTTTTTAATTTTTTTAATTCGTTTTTTTAATATTTAAATATTAATGACATTTTTTTCTTTTTTATGTATTTTAATATAAAGATATAGAAGGATGGTAGATAGAATATCGAGGCGATTAATAAACTAATATTATTCCCCTTAATGTAAGGATGAATATTATTGGTTATTTCATCCTTAGGCAATTAATCTGTGTCTAAAACGCGATCGGAATCGAACGGTCTGTCACTTGCATTGTATGCAATCTAATGTTCACACCTGGTCCTTTAGGGCGTACAGTTATCTATCTACAACTGGGTGTGGTTAGCAATGCGAAGATGCCACCTGTCTCTCTATGTGCCACTTTCTCTTGACAGCCACCAGATGTGCCGTTTCCAGACGTAGGGTCAGTGGACGAGATGTGATTGATGAGAATGCATCGTCCACTAATTTAGTCTGTAAAAAGAAACAAACCCCATTGACATCGAGTAAAATAATATATGTATATATATATATCCGGAGTCGTGTGTGCGTTTGTGCGATATACTGAGTAATCGCGGGGTTTTTATTGAATTATTAAAATGCTACCGACGTGCATGGTTGCTCGTATGTGCAGGGAAACGCATATTTCAGGCTGGATTATAAATATGTGGATGAAATTGGTATAGAAATTTCTGTTTTAATGTAATTTTAGCGAAAATATATAATTTCTTTTATTCGTTTGTGATGATTTTGATATTCTTTACTGTAGAAACTTTATGAAAATATCTTTAACAATGCTTTGGCCTCAATAATTAACTTTTAAATATCTTTTTCCTACTTATCATAATTAAATTAAAGATAAGATAAAATTTAGTGTATAAAAAGATACAATTTTTGTAAATATTTACTATAGTATTGTGATAATTAGCGCTTAAATGTTGATTTTATTAATAATATTTTTCTTATTTTAATTTATAAAAAATGTTTTTTTATAGTATTTAATATTTATTAATTTAAAATTATATTTAAAATTTAAGCTTACAGTGGTTAATATTATAAATTATTGTTATATCAGCATAACAAAAACTATTAATTCGAGCAACAAAAACAATAAACACTCCAATTATTCTCGTGATGATAATTAAGTCAAAACATTCCTTAAAACAGTATTATATATTGTATACTTACCCTGTAATATATGTCTCAAAAGTCGATTAACCATTATAAAATCCACATCGCTCTTTATTCAAATATTTGCTTTAATCAATTTTCTAAAAGGATCCAACGTTGTTCTAAATTCAGTTCATGATTCATATTCACCTGAAACACACAAAATAAAATATGGTTAACTGACTTTTAGACCATCCTATGTCTACGCAGTTCTCCAAATGAGATAATTACCGTTTAAAACACAAATTATAAAGGTCAAAGCTATTCGAGCAGTTAACTGACTTTTGAGTCATCCTGTACTGCCGAATTAACCGTGTTTATAGATTCAGAAATCATTATCTACGCTACATACATCAATTAAATTATAATTAGAATTTCTTAAATTATATTTTTATAATTTTCTGACATTTATATCCAACTTAAAAGACTTTTTCAAGAAGAGTAGGAAAAAAGATAGAACTTTCAACGTTATAATTGGACTTTGCTCTGTAGGAAACTTTATATATATATATATAGATGAGTCGTTAGTTTCCATTATTTAGTCATTCAGACATTAATTAAATGTAGGTTGGGGAAGAGTGGAGCCAAGAGAAGAGGAAAAAACAGGTTATTTTCGGACTCCACTTTTAATGGTGGAAGCAAAGGACTAAGTCGGCAGAACTCATGTCCACTAATTACGACTAAATGTCATTAGGTTGTGGACAGACAGCCAAGTTGATACGATGTCGTCTCCCAGAGATGCAACTAGGAGTCGTTTTCACGCTTTAGATTCTGTTACCAATCGTTTGTCAAGCAAACTTTCTTCTCCAAACTATCCCCATTAAGTTAAAGACTTTGTACCTAACTGTGATTTGTTACGTAAATAATTACATTTCTTCCCTAAAAAAAAGATTTTTCTCCCACACTTCTGTATAATTTAATTCTAAAACGTAAAAAGAAATTCTTCTTACAAGTTTAGATATTTATTAAGGGATTTTTATTGTTTTTTTTCTATATGGAATTTTTCTTTTGTTAGGTTAAAATTATATTTAAACTAGAAACATTCTGAATGTTAAAATTCCCTAAAGTTTTGAAGATGCGACTATTCAAATTAGGGCATTCTAAAAATAATAAAGTTAAGAAGGAATTCTTGTACGTGGTTAGGAAATTTGCACGTGGTTGTCCATGATCTTAACACTAAGAAAATTAAAGAATTTCTGTAAAAATTTTATAGAAATAATAAAGTTACAAGCCTTACGATTAGGGAATTCTTGAGAAGGTAATTTTTTTAAATACGAATATTAAAAAAAAATTTACAAGAAAAATAAATGCAGGAGTTTCATAAAAATGGAGGAATTTTTAAGCCATAAATTAATTCAAAAAATATGGAAAATTTATTTAAATAATAGTAATTTATATGGTAAATTAATATAAATAAAAATTTTAGGGAATCATTCGAAAATTAGTTAAAGAGAAGCGAGTTTACGACGAAAGAATGTATAAAAATAAATTGCCGTGATATTAGAAATTGTAAGAATTTAGTAAAATTCTACGGTTATGGTGAAATTATAATTTGATTTTTATCATTTGTACGCATCAAGGCGATAAAAGTTGTGGAGGAAATTCGACTAAATTGTCAGTCGTATAGAGAAAATATCGCGTGGAACAGGTGGTGACAGTACTACATTCAATTTACATATTGACATAAGTTGACGCTATAAAACCTTCTACTGATAGTCATTCGGTCATTTACAAAGTTCAAATGACCCTCAATGCTTGCGTATTTTCTAAATTTACTACATGAATGGCCCCAGTACCACAGTCCTTAGAGGACGGTCGACTAGAAACAATCTCCTTCAACGTCCTGTTTAGTTGCTAACGTTTACTAATGTAAAAGTTTCCCTTATTTTTATTCCCTTAACTTCGAAATTTCCTGTGTTTTAATTTGTAGAATTTTATTTAGGTTCGTTTCATATTATTTTCCTGCTTGAAAGTGTAGAAATTATGTTAAAATGTAAACATTTCTAATGGAAAAATTTTATTTTTCTCCCTCTCTCCCTTCCTTAAATTAAATTTAATTTGTATTTTTATTCAAAATAATAATAATAAAGAATTCAATTAAGGAAAATATTTTAAAAAAAATCAAAATTTATGAGTTTTTTTCCTAGCAATTTATATAAAGTAGAATGAAGAAAAGTCAAGCTTTTTAATCAATCTAACATCTTATTTACTAGAAGATCAAGTTAAGATCGAGCAAATCAAATCAGAAGTATAATGACTGGCCAAAATTGGATGTCAAAGTGGCACACGCCAAGTAAAACGTGATAATCTCAAACAGATTTGTCAACATTATGATAAATATATAAAATAGTACGTACGCGTGTACTTAGTTTCACGATAATTGTAATGTCAAATTTAAACAACTATAATTGTAAAAAATAAGTGTCAATGTAGATAATAGTCGAAACATTGATAAGAGAAATCAACCAATGGTAGATAGTTATTTTGTATTGGGACAATTTGCTTGAAATTTAGAAAGCATAATTATAGGTGTTGTCTTCAATGTTGACATACAACAGTTTGAAGTTTGTAGACAGTAATCATTTGAAGACCACTGATAAATTACTCAACAAGCAATTTAATTGAATAGCAAGAATCGTCAAATATTATTAAACTTATTATTAAACAGTTCGTGTTTGTTTTCTTCTCTTATTACTTTAATTTTATCCATTTTATTATAATCACCCCTTATTCGTCTCTTAATTTTATTAATGAAATTTATATATATGTTTTTTTTAAATAAAAAGACAGTTTTTTAATATAAAAAATCGNTATTTAATATTTTTAAAAAATCACATTTTTTTTCTGATGATAAGAAGAAAAACTTGATGGATTTTTCTACATTTAAAAAATTCTTGGGATTTCGTAAATCGAAAAATATACGGAAAATTCCAAAAGTCGTTCCCATACAATTTACATCATGATTCATTTCCTCTCACAATCGTATATCTAGAATTACAAGCATGGCAGGAAGGCTCATTACTCACAAAGCACACAATAAATAAAGGCATAGCGTGGAAGACGAAACTCCAGCAAAACTCTACAAAAATACATCTTCCAATCATCATCATTAATAGTAAAAATTCATTTTAATTTTATGAAATTTTATTTCATAATTTATTTAAAAAAAAGGAATGTAAACAATTCCAGAAAGTAATATGGCCTCACAAAGTATAGTACATTACTAGATTGAATACACCATTTATTTACTAAAGAAACTCTCATCAAGAATTGAATTTGTAAACATTTTTTACTTATTTAATTTTAATATTTTTGCTTTAAAAATTGTAATTTTTTTTCTCTTTCTACTTATATATATAAAGTAATTTTAGAAAAGTCTGATTTGATTAGTAAAGGGAAGAAAGGGGGAAAAAAAAGGACAACACGAAGAGGAAAAACGATGTATGAAGTTGTACTGTACATGAAATTTCTCTTTCCCTAGGGAAATTTAGATATGTTCATGTGTCATTAGTACAATTAAAGTAAGGCATGCACCCTACTTTTTTTACCATGGAAACCATTATAATAAAATAAATTGCGTAGCACAGGATTATTTGTTTGAAGTAGCGCATACAAGAAGTGAATTATGTCAAATTATCTACACTTATATATTAATAATAAACCTTATCTCTACTACTTTTATGCGTATGTATCCTTTAAAAAGTTTAGAATTTTCTTTATCTTTTTTCGTGAAATTTTCCACGTGTCTATAATATATATATATACATATATATATATATATACAGGATTTATTATCAGATATAATTTCTCAAGATATACGAGTCTTATAGATAAAGATAGCCTTAAGTGATGTGGAGAAGTTATTCTAGAACTATATTAACGCAATTTTAATAATATAGTAGAGCTTATTCTTAATGCAGTACTGCTTGAGGCTATCGTAAAGAGAGAAAAATATATAAATGTGTGTGTACGTGTGTGTGTCTGTCTGTGTTTATATATATTATAAGGTTATTTTATTTTAAAAAAATAGCATCAATTATTAACTTTATACATTTAGAAAATTTTTCTTGTAAAATTTACTTTGATTATTTATTATCTTTTTTTTGCCCTGTCTTTTCCTACTTTTATAATCGGGAGAACAGGTGCTTTTGCTGCCTTGTAAAAGTAATAATGGGTGAGATACAAAGAAGAATATTTTTGATAAGATAAATCATTCCATGAAATAATTTGCTACCTTTTTTTTTATTACCAGATAAGCAATAAAGACAGGTGTTTGCGTGATTTTTTATTAATTTGAATAATATTATTGTATTTTTATCCGAAGCGAAACATCCTCTTGGCAGAATTCAGGCCGTGTAATGAATAGGGTCCCTACCCTTTTTTTTATGTTTGTCTTTGACTTGTTTGTTCTGTCTGTCTTGTCTGTCTGTCGGTTTCTTTTTTATCTACCTTACAACTAATTTTTGCTGACCTTCGTCTCTAGAAATGTCTCGTCTTTTTACACTTTACTCGATAATTTTTATAGTCATTTTTAATAGGTGAATTATCTTCACGCGCACTTATTTTCGATTGTTTTTCTTTTTGTAAAGCTCCCCATTAACGACTTATCTATGAAATTTTTGTTATTTTAGATTATTTTCCCCTTCGAACTTACCCTTTTATCTACCTTATCTTCTCGCCACCTCACTCACTGTTTCAATTTGTTCATCCCGATAAGCTTATCTTTTACTAAGTTCTAAACACTTGTTAATTTGAAAGTTTCTTAGATGGAAACCTTATTATAATAAGATAAATATATAAGTAAAAATTGAAGTATAGTAGTGTTATACAAGGGTTGGGCTCGAGACTTGCTTTTGAGAACAAATCAATAAGGATAAAATTACGAACGTGACACAGATGAAGCTTGGAGGATAATTCTTGCTCGTAAATTCGTAATGCGAATTCCACACCTACTCTCACCTAATTAATGCGTTACATGGATATGCGGTCCGTAAAGATACTTAATTTTTCAGATTGAAGACATTTTTGCACGCTAAAACTCCTTTACAACGCCTTAACCTTTTAGGGAATTTAATTAATAAATAACCCTAAGTACTACTTTAGTAATAAAATACTATGCTGTAGCATAATGCGCCTTATGCTAATGGAAGGGTATTTTAGTCGTACATCTTTTATGTTCGGTTAAATAAATATTTTAAAGCGATTAAATTAAACTTTTTGCTCTCCGCTGTATTTATATTTATTATAAATATAAATACAGCGTATTTATATTAAATTAAATAGAATTTATATAAATACTATATAATTTATAAACATTCTTATATTATTTTAAATTATTATTTTATTATTTTTTGCGTGTTTTAAATTATAAAATAAAAATTTCTGTTTTGAATTTATAAATTTAAATGTTTAATTACATTTTTGTTTTTAAATTTTATATTTCATAATATTAAAAAATAATTTATGCCTCNAGTGCATTTTTTAAAAATATATTTTTTTTATTTTATTGAATTTTATTTTATTTAAAAAATTGTAATTTGATGAATTTTATTAAAAATTCAATAGAATGAATAATGAATTTAAAAAAATATATTTTAAAAAATTCAGTGAAATGTTTTTTAATAAAATGCAATGAAATTCAATGAAATTTTAAAATAAAATTCAATAAAATTCGATGAAAGTTTTAGATAAAATTCAATAAATTTTTTTAAAAATAAAATGCAACAAAGTTTAATGAAATTGTTTTTTAGATTATCTAAAAATTTCATTGAATTTTATTGCATTTTTCTAAAAAAATTTCATTTAAAAGTAAAAATTAATTTAAATGAAATGTAATTACTGTTAAATTAAAATATTTTAATAAAATGGAATAAAATTCAATAAATTCCTTTTTTAAAAAATGTTTAAAAAACTGAAATTTAGTTTTTTTAAATTGTATTTTCTAAACAAAATTTTAATTTAATAACAATTAAATTTTATCAAAATTAACTATTTTCGCATATATTTTTACTTATTAAATAAATAAAATAAAGTAAATAAAGAAAATTAGGTTTTATTAATTGCAATTAACCTACCGAACCTATTTAATTCTCTTAAAACGGTTTTAAAACAGTTAAAATGCCATTTAAACAATAAATTACGGTTATTTAATGAGATATGGATCTCGATATACGTGATCCAATTATCATATCACAAAGCTATACTTTAAATATCATGGAATATTCAAGTATACAAGAATATATTTAAATAAAGAATATTTGAAGCTAATTAATGAGAATATTCTAATTAAATACATCAAAATATAATGCCTTAAGACAGAACATTTTAATAAGGAGCATCCTACTTATTTATAATGTAAGATACGAATGTTACGAGAGAACTTACGATTAAATAATAAATTTAAATAAATAATTTACGGTTATAAATGTATTCTTTTATATAATTAAAATAAATGATTGCTTAAGAAAAGATCTTAAAAGTAATTTATAGAATAAGATGTATGGTAAGATATGAGGTTAATTTATGGAAGAACTTAGTGTTAATAGGTTTAAAAATACGCAGAATGTTAACATCGTTGCATAAATTATGTTTTTCTATAAAAAAAATTAAGATCTAGGCAATAAAATGTGAACCAAACCCACGTCTGTGTATTAAACTAATGATATAAACACTTAAACGACAGATATTCGGTGTACATACATGAAGTTTTTGGTGGAATTGTGTATTAAATTCGTCTAAAAAGTTAGAATTAGTAAATATTATATAAAATATAATAATCTCTTTATATAAATAAAGAAATCAAGATCTAGTGCTATAAAATAGGAACCGAACCTGCGCCTACAAGTTTAAACTAATACTTCCGAACACTTTATTTATGAAGTTTTCATATAAAACTCGTTCAAAATGAAGTCTTAAAAGTAAAATATTTTAGATAAAGCTAATAAAGTCGTAAATTGTAATGTAATAATTATTATATTTACTGTAAATTAATATGATTAATTTAGCACGTGTAGAATCAAGATGAGAACTGGATGTAAATACTGTATCTACGTTCAATAAAAACGCTATAAATATTCAAGTTAGCTAATTCCTCCTTTAGTTATTCCTAGGGTGGTCCAAAAATCAGTTAACAGTCGTACTATTATTCAAATTTCCCAAGAATTTATCCTTTCACCAGAACAGAAGAACACGCAGTTAACTGATTTTTAGACCACCCTCTAAGGACTTAAAGGCGTTTAAAGGCCGGAAAAACTTTATTTATATTTAAAATATTTATTAAAAAACTTATAAATTAAAATCTTACGAGGAATAATTGTAGAGGAAATGGTAGAAAAATTAATTATTTTCACGTGTAAACGAATTTGCATGTAAATGATTAAATCGAATAAAAATTTAAAGTAATTAAGAAATTTTTGACGTTGTAAAATGTTGAAGAGTTAAAATTCTACTTATTCAAGTATTCCAAATTCAGTAATTAAAGTTCAGAACAATGTAATAATCTTATCATTGATATAAGAATTTTAAATACCAAGGATTCGTTCATTAAATGGCTGTTGGTGAGAGAATATCTCATTCCTGGCATGTTTGCTACAGAATAGCATTTATTCCTCCAGGAAAAATTTTCATAACTGTTCACTCGAGCATTTTCTCTCTCTCTCTCTCTACGATTAAATTTCTCAACACTTATCGTGCCGTTTCTCAATTAAATAACGTTATAACACTTATCCAATAATCCTGATTACGAGTGCTACTTTAGTAATAATGTCGTGGAATTTTCTAATATTTTATACATATTTTTAAAATTTTAAGCCGTTCCTTACGTCTTCTCGTTAAAATTACGCTTAAAATATAAAGTGTTGGCATTTTACTGGAGAGATGTCTGAATTAGCATTAAGGATTCCTTCATTTTCCTTAAATTTCCTTAAATATATACATAAATAACTTATAGATCTATATGTAAAATTTTTAATGCTTTTTAACGTATAAAATTTAAATTTTTTGGCTGTAAAATTTTAGCTTCCTCTCTATTTTAATGGTAAATAAATGCATAAAGTAAAAAGTAGGGCATGAATATGCGTGTACTAAATAGGTAAAATAGCAACAGGTTGATGATATTCACTGATAATTTATGTTATTCGTTAATTTTAATTAAAGTTATAAGTTATTTTCCGAGTTAATCGAATGCGAAATCTTCGAATATCGAAAGAAAATAGCTTGAGAATAGCACGAATTTGTTAATATTTGTGAATATTTTTAAGAGAAATGAGTAAATTCTTTTGATTTCGTGCCAATTTGACAAGCAAATATTTTGATAATTTCCGGAAAACTTCACAGGAGATCTACTCAAATTAGATATACGTAGTTGGAGGTTGCTATTTTTATTCTGGGTCGCTGCAATTAACACTTCTGACCTCTTTTAGCTGATGAATGCATTTTAAATTTTGTTTCTTCTCCTTATTTTTTTCCACTAAAAAGCTTTTAAAACAAAAATTTTTGTTGATTCTTACATGCTAAATTAATTCTGCTATTTCCTACGAATGCATTTCCCTCCCCTCCTTTCTTTCCTTGGTAAATATGATAACAGATAAGTGAAAAAATTAGCTTATTTTTGTGTAAATAGCGATGACGTACTGTTTTATGTGTGACGAAAACGTCTTTGAAGATCACACGAATTTATTTTTTTTAATTAAAAATTAGTTTATTATACGAGAGCGCGAGAATTGTTATTTTAAAAGTCATTTTAACGTGTGAAATTTATATGTATAAGTAGGAAAACAGCGTAACATATTTTATAAATACTGTGTTAAATAACGTTTATTACGTATAATTTTTGTATTAATTAAGCTCAGAAACAAAAAATAACATTTAATTAACATAAAATAATCAAAAATAGCATGATAAAGAAGAATAAAAATCACTTTAACGTATAAATTTTAGTTACTTAAATGGAAAAATTGCGTAAAATATTCAAATATTAAGAAAAATATGGCGTTAAATAACGTAAAAATTATATATAGTAAAACTTATAAATCAACTAGCATTTAATTAATATAATATAAGTGAAAATAGCCAGATAAAGAAGATGAGAAAGAGAAGGCGTAGGAAGATAGGCAATAATTTTATCATTATTATATATATAAACACGTATAAACATCACACGAAGATATTCAATAATCCTACTTCTTATATAATAAAACAGCATTTCAAACTAGAACAATATAACCCAATTAAAGGCAGCAGTATAGAGCTAGATAAAGAAAGCCATTTGATATAAACACTTATCTACAAAAGTGTGAAAGAAAAATAAATATCGTCTTATAGTTTCTTATCTGATGGATGTAAGAGTAAACAAAATATTGCAAGAAATAAAAAAAATATATAAAATGATAAAATTTCTTCAATAATAAATAAATATATATACACATATAAATAACTGCCTATACAAATAATAAAGTGGTATTCTTATAAACATAAATCTCACACCAAATAACTTTAGGTAAATATTTTTAAAGATATAAAAATTTTCGAAAATATAGTTTTGGCCATTTTAGAAAGAGAAGAAGAGGAGGAGGAGGAGAGGGAAGAAGAGGAGGAGGAGGAAGAAAATGTTTATTTTGTAAAGCGAATCCATAAATTTGACAAGTTGCAACTTAAGCCAAAGTATTGCGAATTTCACTTTTTGATCGTCATTTAAATATTTCCCACTTGACTATTTTGACAGTTTCGATACCAAAACTTGAAATACACTTGATCGATGTCAAATTTAAAATAATTTTGACAGCTTTTTATAAATATATTCTATACTAAATAACATCTTTATATATTCGGAAAATTATTTTCCAAAATAAATGATTTTTTTGTATAATTATAACGTCATTAAGTATAGAAATTCTAAAGGATATTTTTAAATTAAACGTAGAGAATGTCATCGTTAGAAATTCATCAAAGATTTCTGCTCATTTCTTTTAGTTTTTTATTTCTTTTTTTGTTAATAATAATTTCATTTTATCTATAAAAAATAATTACAAATGCAAAAGTCATTTCTTAATGAATGTTATCTTACATAAAACTAATCCTCTTGTTTGCACAAGACAAACATCAAGTCAGCAAGCATCCCATTCCCTGCAGACTAAGTCATATGTACAGTAAAGAGTAAAGGGAGGGGGAAGAAAGAATAGGGAGGGAGAAAAGTTTTTATGACCATCCCATTGCGAATTCTGTTCTTGCTACATTCTGTATTTTTACCATGGTAGCTTGTTGTTAAAGCTTAACTTTCTGCTCTTTCATCTTGGTATTCAGTCACGATATCCCAATTACCAATCCGCTGAAGGTTTTATGTTTTTGGATGCTCCTCTCCCCGTCACGTGTCCACCAAAATTCGATGTGACGTCATGCATTTTAGATAAAGAAGGAATTATTTTTAAAAATTCCTCGCAATTTTTTAAGTTAAATTCGAAGAAAAATTAAATAAAGATCGCTTTTTTCCCCTCCTCATCCTCTTCCTCCTCTCTTGTTAAGTAGAACGGTGGTATTGTATGAAGGAAACTTTATTACAACTGTACTATATTGTGTCCTACACGAGATAGAACAATTTCTTCGGTTTTAATTACAAGTAGTTGTGTCCCCCGAGGCTGGAATCAGATTGACAAGTTTATAGTAGTTCAAAGGTCTCGATATGGTACAAATAACATGGCCGTTATTAGAATTCCTACAGTATATCCAGCAACCTCAGGGCTCTACAGTCGGTATCTTTATTACTAACTTCCTGGAGCTGTCTAAAGGTTTTACAGACTGCGATGTATTATTTACACCCTGTCTGTTAAATCATATATGGAGTAGAGAAGTCGAATTTTCTAGTATAATAAGTAAATATGTGATTGCATCCCTCTCTCTTCTTCCATTTGTAAATGGACTCTGTGCCTACATCCTCCAGCCTTTACATATATATATGTATGTATGTATGTATAAACCGTGTAGTAAGCTTCTATTATTATTCTTATTGATTGCTGAATGATGTTATATTGATACATTATTGTTTTTTTAATCAATAAGTGAGTGATATTGCTCTAATCTCGTGATTAATCTTTCATTATTCTGAATCATTCCTGTTATTGTCTTCGTCGCTATATATCTAACTTTCTGCTTTATAAATTATTTATGCATTTGTGCAATTAAATTATAGAATAAATTTAAAACTTTGATTTTATTGTTAATTTTCTAGACGATAAGCAAGATTCAATGCGTAGATTATATATATATATATATATATATAAATTTGAATAAATTCGGTAACAATAAAGTTTTTTTTTGAATTAAAATAGTAAGAAATAAAGTTATTTCTTTCTATATATATATAGCATATATTATCCCTGCTTCATATATTTTACATATTATTCGAATTTCTCCATGTTCAATCTTAATGTAATTTACTTATTATTCAGTTCCATGTGTTTTCTTACTATTTTTATTTTCTTTTCTTCTTTCTTTCTTACTCTCTTTTTTATCATTTGCTATCTATAAGTCTTCCTTTAGGATAATCAACTGCAAGCAACCATCATTAAGAATTACTTTCTCCAGCAAAAATTGGTGGAAAAAATCTTAGCAGAAACTGCATCATATGTTTGATTTTCTGCATTTCCTCTTCGGAGACATCTGTCATTAATGACCGAATCAATTGCCTAATTTTATTGATACTCTTCATGAATAATTCATTAGAATAACACAAACACATAAATTATGTCATTTCGACTTCATTAGATTTAATGCTTTTTAAAATTTCATAAAAATCATCATCATCTTTTCTCCATTTTAAAATTACTAGAAGAAATTATTATTTTTTAAAAAAGTCCAATGTTATTTAATAAATTTCCTTTATTTNAAATTAAGTTTTTTAAAAAAAATACACCAAAAATTCAAGAAGTTTAGTATTTTTAACTAACTTTAAGGTTAATTTACTTTATTTTACATTTATAAAATTGAAATGAATTTTTTTAAGTGATAAAAGGCATTAAAACGTGGAAAAATTTACCTGAAAATCTACGTTAAACCCTTTTTTTAACCAGGAATTTTTGTAGTAATATTGCAAATGACTGTAAATTCCTTTATCACGACTGACTTTGGATGAGAACAATTTTAGTATAAGTGATCTCATCCATCAAAGAGAGAGGCAAAGCATTCCATTGGAAAATTAGTAGAGGACCATGCTGGAGAATATGTAATGGTTTTAGAAATCAGTTTAATTATTCTATATTACTAAATCTGTTCAATATGCAAATAACTAATTATCATTAGTTGAATATTTGATTAGACGGAAGCACATTTAATAATGTTCACAAGGCGTAAATATCTAAGATGCCGTATTAATTCCCATCATTTTTAATTGATATATTTCGATTTTTATTCGTTTCCTCCGCGTGTTTTGACGTAATTTCCTCTTCCGTTTTCCTCCTCTTCTCCATGTGAAAGTGGGAAAGATGTAACTTTATTTTTTTTATTTTTTTTTATTATTTTTTTTTCTTCTTTCTTTCTTTCTTCTGTGTAATGGTGTGTCTTACATTCTTTAGAAAATTGTTCAAAGCCATGACGAAGCTACTTGCCAGGACATCAAAATGACCGAATGTCGAAGTTCTTAAACCACAAAGAAACTTTCTTTCATAAACTTTTGATTTAAAATAGCATTCTTTCAATTCTTAAAGACGTCGAGAAGTGTTTGAAAATATTGAAGTTTTCTTTATTTTTTTTCCTTCGAGTGTTATCGAATAAACAATAGTTTACTCGATAACACTCGAAGAATCGCATTGAAAAATTTCTATTATTATTATTATTTTGAT